TGAATATTTTATTTCATAGATTGAATGTGCAAAATTGAAAATAATTTGAAAAAAATTTGATTTATTTTTTAGATAGACATTTTTACCGTTGAATAAGTATTATTAAAATTGAATTGTAAAAGATATTTTTGTATATTTGTTTACATTCTTATTTATTTTTTGGACTCTAGTAGTTTATCAATTTAAATATTTTATTAAATTATTAGTAAATAATTTTTCAAATTTCACTTTAAAAAGTTCATCCAAATTTGTTATTTTTAACGTGTTGGTGGAACTTTTAATAAGTGGTGTTAAAATTAATCATTTGATTATAAATTTTCAGAATTTATTTATATTTTTAAAATCAATATGGATTTTAAAGTTATAATTTTGTTTTAATTATCCAATAACTTGATTCCAAGATATTAAACAAAATATCATAAGAATCAAAATTTCAAATCTTATATGAAATAAATTCAATTCTCACTTTTTCACTTCATGTTATATCTTGATTTAGCTTACAAATTAAGGGATATATTTTTCAAATAATAAATAAAAATATTTTTATCTATTTTTCAAAATTTCTTATTAAACACACATTAAAAACAACATGTTTACATATTTTTAATGTTTTCACTTTTCTCGCCTTAAATTTTTAATCCTTTGGCTAAATCAACTTTGATTTTTTTTTTTTTACTAAAAAATCTATGATGAAGAGAGATTTTTTATTCAAAGTAAGAATAGATCACACATATATCAAAGATAACTTATATTAAATTTACGTTAAATAGCGTTAGAATTAGTTACCTAGAATTTTGCTAGCTTGAAACTCAATAAATATATAATGGTAAGGTTGCACTTTGTTTTGACTTTCTATTAGCAAGAACTATTTATTGAAATAGATAATAATCTTATATGCCATAAAATCAAATTATAAATCATATAATTGTTATAATTTATAAAATTCTAACCAATATTATTATGAAATTATAAGTCATACAATTCATACTATATTTTTTTCGTATCTAGTTGCTATTGTTGTTTTTATTGATACCACATAACATAATAGTTTATTTTACTGAAAAACACTCTTTATTTAAGGTCAATTATTTTTAAATTGGATGCCTTCTAAAAAAATTTATTTATTTTATGCTTTTATGCTTTTATTTTAAATATTCAATTTTATTTATGAAACATGATTTTTTTAATTCATTAATTTAAATCAACTAATTTTAGTTTTTATTTAATATTTTAATAAAAATTCAAAAATTTTGCTTACAAAAATTCATCTAAAACTTCATTTAAAATGAATTGGTGTCATGTTTAATGCATTTATAAATTATTATAAACTTATGAATTATAGAATAAACTTATAAATAAATAAAATTATTATTATATTATGAATTAAAAAATATTATTTTATAAATTTTATTATATAAATAATTAATAACTAAATATAAAATTTAGTTTTATATTATATTATTATTTTAACTATAAATAGATAACTACATCATTAATAAAAAATTAAAGAAAAATAGCACTTGAGATATTAGTTTTATTAGTTTTTAATTATTTATCAAAAAATTATTATTTGACATAAAAATAATTTATGGATTTTTAAATAATTTATTAATTTTACAAATTTTAAATAATTTAAAATTTTTATTACATACAAATTTAACAGTGGTTGCTCCTCTAATTACAAGTTACCTAATTTCTACCACGTGTTTGCTTGGAAAGACATATCTTGATAATTGATTTTAATCTCGTTGATACAGTATCCAATTTAATCGTTGTTTTTAATCTCATCAAAATTAATCTTATCACCCATTCAAGTGAATCCTAAATTATTTTCAGTACATTAGAGATGTCAATATTATCCAAATTTAATAGAAATTTAATTTTTTATTTGAATGAAAATAAAAAAAAATAAATTTTAGAGATGAAGACGAAGATGTGTATCATTTTAAAACCTTACAAAATTTTATTTAATTCATTTAAGTCCTTTCTATTCAATGTTGATTGACTCTTGTATACCCTCCCACCTATAATTTAATTAGCACCATGAACACGTTAGAAATGAAAGGTCAAAATGAGAGGCCAAAAGAGTTGGATAAGACTCCATATTGAATAAAAGATAGGCTTGAACCAAATTAAATGAATAAAAATTTATATAATTATATATTTAAGAATTGTTATTTATAAATTAATTTGACTGTTGGTTTATGGTCTATAGGATTGGTATCTTCATTTAATAATTAAATTATTATATATATGTAGATGATAGAGTTCTTTTTTTAAATTTATTAATTTTTATAAATATATTATTATAAAATACATGTCAATTTTTTAATTTTTTTCATAAAATTTAAAAAATTTATATTAGATAATTTTTAATTCATTAATTTGTCTATGTACTTAATATTTTTTAATTATGACCTAATGATATGTATTAATCTTATAAACTCATTTATCTGAGTTTAAAATTTTCAATGATGTATCATATAATTTTCATTTAAAAAAATTATCATGAAAATTTTATAACACATACTTTTTATTAAAATAAGCATGAATTAAATTAGAATATTCTTTTATTACAAAAAATAAAAAAATACCAATAATCAATATTTATGAGAGAATTTAAAATTTAATTTACTTAATTTAAATATCAGTATTTAAATTTTTTTTATGTTGCAATTTTTTTATAAAAAAAATCCAACAAAACTAATTTAAATGTAAAAGACCTATCGGTATTGAAGTTGCATTTTGATATGAATGTTTCATAGAAACTGAAATGGTCTAAAATGGAAAGCTAGAGTTGACAACAACACTCAAACTTTGCTATGTTCTTTGTGGGTTGGAGACAACAATTGCAATTCGGTTGGAATTACCTAGAATTAGGCAACAAGCATCACCAATCTAAGCCTTCTAGATTATGGGTCCACACACAAAATAATTAAATAAAAATATTTATTAAATATAAAAATATTAAATAAAAAAAGAAAAAAAAAAGAGATGAATGCCATGTGGCACCTTAAAGAAAGGCCATACATTATTAAAATTTGTTGTTTAGATACTCTTTTAAGTTAATCATTTAAAAGTTATTCAAAATTTAAAAATATATAGTATTGGTTAATTAAGAATTTTTTGAAAGATTTTTTATGCTTTTAAAGGACAATTTTATAAAATTGATCAATAATTGTTTATATGTTCATTCAAATAGTTTAAATTAATCATTTAAAATTGTAGCAATTTGACAATATTTATTGCACAAACATACAGTAGCAAAAATTAAATGTAGAAAACTGAATCCAAAATCGTATCTATTTGTTGTGAACATCATAATTGGTATGCATATGATTTTCAAACATGAGTTTAGTTCATACCTTAAGTTATGGATTGTCAAAAATCTAAGAACTTACGATATGTTTGGTTTGTAAAACAAAATAAAACAGGAATGAAATTTGTATTTTGTGAGAATAAAATATAAAAGGAATAGAATATAACATGTATTATGAAGTTTGATTATTATAATAGAACAAAGGAGGAATTAGTATTAAAATATTTGATTAGTTCAAAGAATACGATAGCATAAGTTCAAAGAATATGATTAGTTCAGAGAGTATGTTTTTATGTAAATCCTTGTAGAATTTTAACTCTTCTAGATAATATTGAATCTATAAAATGACTTAAATTTTGAACTCTTTAAATTTTAAAATTTAAACTTGAAATAATCTAATTTAACCATCAATTGTTATTGACTTACAAATTTATAAGTCAGATTTGATATTTTTTTTATATAGATATTTTTATGGTTAAATAAATATTGATCAAAATTGAATTATAAATGATATTTATTTATTTTTTTTATATTTTTATAAATGATATCCTTTGATCTATAATTTATTGTGCACCATGAACATGTTAAAAATGAGCAGGCAAAAGATTTGGACTAGATTCAATATTGAATAAAAAATCGTCCAGAACCAAACTAAATGAATAAAATGTATACATTTAAAATTATTATCTTATATATTGATTTCAATATAGTCTACACAGCTGTCGCATCTTTATTTAATAATTTAATTATTATTTAATCCAAATTGATGATAAAAATTTTAAATTTCACAAATTAAATTAAATAATTTGTATGCATATATTTATATAATAATTAATCAATTCATTAATATTTATAGATATATTCTTAAAAAACATATGTCAATTTTTTTAATTTTATTTATAAGATTGAAAATTTTTATATAAAATATTTAATTCGTTAATTTCTTTACATAATTTTTTATTTATGATCTAATTGTTTGTATAATTTTTTATTTATGATCTAATTGTTTGTAGTAATCTTTTAAACTCATTTATAGAATTTAAAATTTGATTGATGTATAAGATATAATTTTCATTTAAAATAATTATCATGATTTTTTTAACATTTGATTAATAATAAGTGCAAACTAAAGCTAAAATTGTCCTTTAAACGTAGAAGACCAATAGTCATCTAACAAAAATAATTTAAACGCAAAAGATCTGTTGGTCTTAAAGTTATATTTTTTCACTTGATGTTTCGCACTAAAATGCTATTGTATTTTGCATAAATACCTAACCATGCTAGCCAATGTAATTTAGAACAATTAACAAAAATCCTTTTTGAACTATCCAAATCATGTCATCTTTCTTAATACCATTCAAGTCATGTTCTTTCCTCATACTTGTCCTGCTTCACTTTTCCTCTGTTTTTGCTTCTTCATCCTCCATTGCTGCACTTATAAGAGGTAAAGAGCGGAAACTCTGCTAAAATGGAAAGCTAGCCTTGACACAACACCCAAACTTTGCTCTCTTCTTTGTGGGTTGGAGACTTCCATTGCAGTTGGGTTGGAATTACCTGCTACAAGACTGAAAGCATCACCAATCTAAGCCTTCCAGATTCTGGGTTGAAAGGTAACTTCATAGTCTTAGCTTTCTTTTCTTCCCTAAGCTGATGAGGCCTGACCTTCGCAACAACTCACTGTATGGGCCCATTCCCTAACACATTGGGAACCTTTCCAAGCTCACCTCCCCTTGACTTGCAATACAATAACTTTTCGGGGAATATGCCATCCGAAATTTGCTTATTGAAAGGTCTTGAGTTGATTTCCTTGGCAAGTAATGAGATCAGTGGTTCCATTCCATTAGAGATAGGGAGGCTGAGTTCAGTTTCCGAGATTTATTTCTTTGATAACTATCTACGTGGTTCTATCCCTGCTTCCGTAGGAAACTTGACCTACTTATCTGTTCTCCACCTCTATCAAAATATGTTTTGTGGATCGATACCTCGAGAAATAGGGATGCTTAAATCTCTCACTGACTTTGAGTTGATTCATAATAATTTCTCTGGTTCAATTCCTGCTTCCATAAGAAACTTGACCAGTTTATCCACTCTCCACCTTCACCATAATATGTTTTCTGGGTCGATACCTCAAGAGATAGGGATGCTTAAATCTCTCACTGACTTTGAGTTTAGTCATAATAATTTCTCTGGTTCAGTCCCTGCTTCCATAAGAAACTTGACCAGTTTATCCAGTCTCCACCTTCATCATAATATGTTTTCTGGGTCGTTACCTCAAGAGATAAGGATGCTTAAATCTCTCACTGACTTTGAGTTGAGCCAAAATAATTTCTCTGGTTCAATCCCTGCTTCCATAGGAAACTTGACCAACTTATCTTTTCTCTACCTCTACCAAAATATGTTTTCTGGATCGATACCTCAAGAGATAGGCATGCTTAAATCTCTCACTGATATTGAGTTGAGTCAAAATAATTTCTTTGGTTCAATCCCTGCTTCCATAGGAAACTTGACCAGTCTATCCACTCTTTACCTCGATCAAAATATGTTTTCTGGGTCGATACCTCAAGAGATAGGGATGCTTAAATCTCTCACTGACTTTGGGTTGAGTCAAAATAATTTCTCTGGTTCAATCCCTGCTTCCATAGGAAGCATGTCGAAGCTTATGATGATATATCTTCACCATAATCATTTATCAGGGCCAATTCCTTCAGCGCTTGGCAATCTCACTCATTTGCAATCATTACAATTAGGAGATAACCATCTTAGTGGTCCATTACCCAAAAATTTATGCAGGGATGGACAACTCGCAAATCTTTCGGCTTTCAACAACAATTTGACGGGTCTTATCCCACCAACTTTGAAAACTTGCAAAAGCTTATTCAGTGTTAGGCTTGAAGGAAACTAGTTGACAGGAAATATATCAGAAGCTTTCGGTACATATCCTAGTTTGAATTATATTGCATTAAGCAACAACAAATTTTATGGCGAACTTTCGCCAAATTGGGGGCAATGCCATAGTCTAACAAGCCTACGGATCTCCAATAATAACATTTCTGGAAAGATACCACCTGAGCTGAAGCATGCAACTCAATTGCACGAACTCGATGTCTCTTCAAATCATCTCATTGGTGAGATTCCCAAGGAATTGAGAGCATTGACATTGATGTACAAACTTTTGCTAAGTGGTAACCAACTTTCAGGCAAAATTTCACCAGAGATTGGAGTTCTTTCAAATCTAGAATATCTTAACTTGGCATCAAACAATTTGAGTGGACCGATTCCTAATCAACTTGGAGAGTGCTCAAAGTTATTGGACCTGAATTTGAGCAAGAATAAACTTGGAGAAAGCATTCCATTTTCAGTAAGCTACATAAATGGCCTTCAAAATCTAGATTTAAGTTGGAATTTACTTATTGGGGAGATACCACAGGAACTTGCAAAATTACATTCCTTGGAAATATTGGACCTTTCTCACAATATGCTCAATGGTTGCATCCCAAATTCTTTTAATGATTTGAAAAGCTTGACTGTTGTGAATATATCTTACAATCAATTAGAAGGCCCTATTCCTAACATTAAGGCATTTCATGAGGCTTCATTTGATGCCTTAAGAAACAATAAGGGACTATGTGGTAATGCCACTGGACTAATGCCTTGTGCTGTCGGTGCTACTAGCAACGGTCATAGAAAAAGCAGCAAAATCATCATTTTCATTGTACTTCAACTCTTTGGTCTTCTTCTTTTGCTCTTTGTCATGGCTGGAAGTTTCCTTATTCTTTGCCAAAAGAACCAAATCAGAAAATCCGAGTCAATCGAGGCACAACTTGGAGATTTTTTCACATTGTGGGGATATAATGGAAGAATACTCTATGAGAACATTATTGAAGCCACTGAAGATTTCAGCTCCAACAATTGCATTGGTTCAGGAGGCTATGGTGCTGTTTATAAAGCTGCGCTACCCATTGGGGAGGTGGTTGCTGTGAAGAAACTTCACCAATCTGAAGATAGCATGATTTCCAACAACTTGAAAGCCTTTGAAAGCGAGATTCATGCTTTATCAGAAATAAGGCATCGTAACATTGTGAAGCTGTATGGCTTTTGTTCACATCCAAATAACTCATTTTTGGTTTATGAGTTTGTAGAAAGGGGAAGTTTGAGAATGGTGTTAAGCAACAAGGACGAGGCAATGGAGTTGGATTGGGAGAAGAGGCTAAATGTTGTAAAAGGAGTGGCCAATGCCTTGTCTTATATGCATCATGACCATTCACCACCTATAATTCATCGAGACAATTCCAGCAACAATGTTCTTCTGGATTTGGACTATGAGGCTCATGTCTCATATTTCGGCACAACTAGGCTTTTAAAGCCTGACTCTTCTAATTGGACCTCACTTGGCGGTACTTTTGGGTACATAGCTCCAGGTATTTATTGATATCTTTTTTTAAGATACTTTAAACATGTCATTGTCATAACGTCTAGATCCGGGGATCTATCGCTAGACATTGACTTTTAATGGAGTCGCCACCAATCTTTTTTATCTAGGTGCGATTGGCCACCTAAAGAATCTGTCCTTTCAGGGAACACCTAAGTTTAAGGGTCCCTAAAAGAATAGGTTCAGGTCACAAACCAGAACAGGGTTCGGGAGTTCGGTTACGTGTGAGAAAGGTTATAGCACCCTCACAACGCCCATCAAAAGATGGTACCAGCTTAAATTTGTGTTATCCAAAAGCCTTTAAAATTTTACCAAGTAATTAATTGTTGAAAATTATTCTCAATTGACTCTAATACTTTTAGCAGAAAATTGAAAAAATTCTCTCACCTCAAGAGTATGCAAGAAAAACTACTGTTTCACTTACAGAGGCTCTGTCGTCGGATTAGTTAAAGAAAAATCAAAGTCAAAATCAAAATAGGAAGGAAGGAAAGAATGATTGTTCTTGTGTGGGGAAAATTGATACTTTCAACTTTTCCTCAAAAATACTTTTTTGAAAATTTATTTTTAAGGAAAATTGATACTTTCAATTTTTTCTCAAAAATATTTTTTTTGGAAATTTTGATTTTTATTTAAAGAATAATAAATAAAAAATAAATAAAAAACAAAGAAAAGTAACGCAAAAAATAAAAATAAGATAAAGATAAAAAATATTAAATAAATATAATCTAATAAAAATAATAAAACAATAAAACAAATAAACAAATAAATAAATAAAAAATTCCAAAAAAAAAAAAATGGAGCGGCTCGGTTATCGGCTCGGCTCGGCTCAAGGAAGAAAAACGGCTCGGGGGAGCGGCTAGGGAGCTCGGCTCGGCTCGGCTCGGAGGGGGCAGGGCACGCGCGGGTCAGGAATCGGGTCGATGCTCGGGTCGGGTCGAGTCACGGTAAAACGCGCGGATGCTCTGATTAACTTAAAGCCAAAACGACGTCGTTTTGGGAGGGTATAAAAGGCAGTTCCCTTCGTATTTCGACAGACCGCTCCTCTTCTCTCTCTCTCTTCTTTCCTTTTTCTCTGCCTTCTCTCTAAAAGCTGAAGAACATCGGTGCCGGATTCTGGAAAATGTCACCGGAATCTGGAAAATTTCGTCGGATGTTCGCCGGAAGTTTGGCCGGAAAAATGGTCGGTTTCTGGATTTCTCGTCGGAAACTGGGCATCTCGCCGGAAACTTCAAATTTGCTGGAATTTTGGCCGAAAAATTCAACTCTTGCCGGAATTTTTGCCAGAATCTGGAAATTTCTCAGAAATTTCCAGAAAAATTTTTCACCAAAAATTTCTAAAAAATTTTTCTTACTCCCAGAACACTCCTAAACTTTTCTTAGCTTCCTATACGCCTCCTTTTCTCTCAAATCAGTAGCTTTGCTTACTGTTTTCTGTCTGTGTTTGCATCTGTTCCAGGGGTCCTTTATATAGGGATTGATCAGGAGTTCCTGATCAATCCCAATTCCTCCTTGGACGAGAATTCAATCTTTGAATCCAACTGGACTCTTCTGATTGAATTCCCATTCCTAGTGGGATTCTTCAACTTCAATCTCAGCCCTCGAAAAATAAAAATCAAATAAAAAAAATAATAATAGATAATTAGAAAAGAATCAGATACGGATCAAGAAAAGAGAAAGAAAAAAAAATAATTAACAGATAATTAGGAATACAATAAGATAAACTAAAAAAAAATATTACAAGAAAAAGAGAAAAAATAATAATAATAAAATAATAATATATATATAACTATATAAATACAATACATATAAATATTAATAGAAAATAAATAAATAAATAAATAAAGATATACATATATTAATATATAATAATAATAATAATAAATAATAAAATACATAAAATACAAAAGAAGAAGAAAAAAAATACAGGGTTACAATTGAATTGGGCCTTACCCATTTGGGCCAAGCCCAATTGATCTGGGCCTGGACCCAATTGGGTGTCACAGCTGCCCCTCTTTGCACATTTTCTGTGAAACAGAAATTGCGCAAAGACGTAGACACCCAATCAAGACTCAACTCAACGTTGTCACTTTTTGTTTTTTTGTTTTTTTTATTTTTTTGACCAAAGCTCCTCTAAACAGAGGCTCAACGACTTTGAAAAATAAATTGCTCCTCTAAACAGAGGCACCACGACGAGGCACCACGACTTTGGAAAGTAAATTGTTCCTCTAAACAGAGGCACCACGACTTTGGAAAAGTAAATTGCTCCTCTAAACAGAGGCAACGAAACTTTGAAAAGTAAATTGCTCCTCTAAACAGAGGCACCACGACTTTGGAAAGTAAATTGCTCCTCTAAACAGAGGCAACCGAACTTTGGAAAGTAAATTGCTCCTCTAAACAGAGGTACCACAACTTTGGAAAAGTAAATTGCTCCTCTAAACAGAGGCAACTGAACTTTGAAAAGTAAATTGCTCCTCTAAACAGAGGCAACGAAACTTTGAAAAGTAAATTGCTCCTCTAAACAGAGGCACCATGACTTTGGAAAGTAAATTGCTGCTCCTCTAAACAAAGGCAACGAACTTGGAAAAATAAATTGCTCCTCTAAACAGAGGCAACGAACTTTGAAAAGTAAATTGCTCCTCTAAACAGAGGCAACCGAACATTGGAAAGTAAATTGCTCCTCTAAACAGAGGCAACGAAACTTTGAAAAGTAAATTGCTCCTCTAACAGAGGCACCACGACTTTGGAAAGTAAATTGCTCCTCTAAACAGAGGCAACGAACTTGGAAAAATAAATTGCTCCTCTAAACAGAGGCACCACGACTTTGAAAAGTAAATTGCTCCTCTAAACAGAGGCAACGAAACTTTGGAAAATAAATTACTCCCTGACAATCATGTCCAAAGGAGTTGAAGGTTGTGTTTGGAGGAATTTCAGGAGATTATGCCCAAAGGTCTTACAAATCAATCCTGATACTAAAAGACATCCTATTTCAAGGATTAGGAACTTACCTGACAATCTTTTTTTCTTTTTTTTCAATTTTGCAAAGTATCTCCATATCTGTCTTCTTCATGTGGGATGTTGGAACACCCCTGCTTCTTGAATTTATACACTATACTTTCCTGAAAGTAGTGTATGCTATGCAAATGCATATGAATTTCAATGCATGCTATGCAAATGTCGGCCAATTAATTCCTGTTCAATGTATGGTACTCAAGTTTTTCAAGCTCTTTTCTTAGGGATCAAGCCCTTTGATTCTTCAGAGATCCAATTACACTGCTCTTCTAAGATCGAACCAGTGTAGCTCTCAATTGTCTTTTCCACTCACATTTTTCTTTGTTCAGTTTCTCAATGCTTTGGAATAAGCTTCATCAATCGATCATCACTTGACCATCATTCAATGAATTTCTCAGCACTAGCAAGTTTCAAAACAAGTTTCATCCACCATCACTGGGTCATTGCCTCAGCATTAACCGTTCGAAAACAAACTCTGTCCAGTGATTGTTCTCATCATTCAATCATAACATGCAAGTCATATCAACCAATTCATCCTTGTACTCATCACTTGGTTATACCACTTTTCAAGATTTGCCCCATTATATTCTTCATTTGATCACCTCATATATCTTTTCAAATCATCTCCTTTAGGTTTCTATCATTTCTTCATCATCTTAGATTTCTATTCAAATGAATGTAAGATTCTTTTAAACACATATTCATTCATTCATTATCATTTCAAATATTGACAAATACAATGCAATCAAGCATTTTCTCAATTCATTCTAGGGGTGTAACAATAAGAGAACACAGGGTGAATTATGGTAAAGATAATCAATGAAGATCTGTTTTGGTACAAAGCAAATGGGAATGAATTGGATACATGTCATTGGGATGGATGGTATGTCCAAATGATGAATATTCAAACAATTTTCAACATTAATCTAGGATTTTTTTTCAAAAACTCATTTCATTTACAATTGAAGTCATCTTGAGCTTGGCGAACTTTGCCCCCAGTCCTTGAGGGATCTTCAGATGTCTTTGATCTTTCATTCATGTGAGCCATTTGACCTGGATCTTTTTCTATCAAAATCAACCCTTCAGGTTTTCAATTTGAATCTCCTTTTTTCATTTTTTCCTTCTTTTTTTCTCATTTTTCTTTTTTTTTTTTTTTTCATCATCTTTTTTCATCCATTGTTGATATCTTTCATACGTCCAACTTTAGAGCATGATTTCATTGCTTCCTCATGAGCATACCTTCGCTCAACATATGATCATTCAAGTTGAGTATTCACACTTGATCAAAATGGACTTTTCAAGGTTGTAATGTAGGCCAAGGTGAAGGGTCATAAAAAAATGGATATAATAGGCTCAAAACATGTATTAAAAAGGTTCAAAACCAAAGGATCATTTGATATAGCTTGGCATTTTGCCCCACATCATTTCACTACTTTTTCTTTCGTCACACAAAAGATTCTCATTACTTTGCCCCAAATCATGTGTGGCATTTATTTTTCTTTTACTTTTCTTTCTCTTTCCATCTTTGAGACCTTTTGTGGTGTTTTTTGTTTTTTGTTTTTTTTTCCAAAAATTACCCTCCAGTGTAGAGGGTGTCCTTGGTTGAGGTTCTTCAAGAAAAAAAAATCATGATTGGCTCAAAAGGGGTAGCAATAAATGGTTTTTCTAATGGTAAAAGAAAGATGGCCATTTTTCATCTCAATTGTGAATACCTTTCTTGAACATCATCTATTAAACAAAGCTCATGAATCTGTATAAAAGATTACATATCTTCAAGACATATCTCTTTCACATCCAGTAACAGCTTACTTTTTGCTCAAATCATCTTCTCATATTAATGTGGATGAGTTCTCAAAATTAAATCTCAGAATTACTGTTATCATTGTCTAAATATTCATCATCTGAAATTTAAGAATGGGAATGTGAAGTTATGAAAGGTAACAGGGCATAGAGTAATGGTCAAGTGAGAGAGAAAAATGTAATGAAATGCATTGACTTGCTTTTATTAAAATGATAACAAGTGAAGTCATATTGCAAAAAAGAAATCTAACATTACTTGAAAAGAAATATTAAAATGAAAAAAAAAACCTTCAACCCGCCTTATCTCCATTAAAAATTAGTCCCTATATGATCAGGTGAAGAAATCCCCATTGACATCTTGCCCATCAATTCATTGTGACTCTTCAGATCCTTTCTGTTCTTGACTTTCACTCAGTACGCTAACATGAGGTGTTGTTGCTTTTCCCTGATCAAAACTTACCATTCCATCATTGATCAACCGTTGTACCTTATACTTTAAAGCAGTACAATTTTTAGTAGAATGGCCAGTAATTCCGTAATGGTAGTCACAACGGGCTGTAGGATCATACCACTTTGGATAGGGTGGTTTAAGCGGCTCCACATGGCTGGAGGCAATCAAATGGCTATTATAAAGCTCTCGATATAACTCTGTATAAGTCATAGGGATTGGATCAAATACAGGTTTTTCTCGAGCAGTCCGTTGTTCTCGCGAGCCACTGACTGGGTTAGTAGGGCGGATTTGGGTTCTTACAGGAGCTTGATTGTTAAGGCGATAAGTGGATGAATAAGATGGTTGAGGAGCTAGCTGGTATGGGTAGGATGAGTTATTATTCACAGCGGGATAGTATGGAGAGTAGCCTTGGGATGGATAGGGTTGATAACCCCTGAATTGTTGTCTATCAAAGCTCACAGCTTGAGCTTGAGCTTCTTTCTTTTCTGATGCCTTCTTGGTTTCTCCTCTTTTCAACTTGCCATTTTTTATGACACTTTCAATAATTTCTTCAGAGATCACCATGTCAGCAAAATTCTTTGTTGCATTCCTTATCATCTTTTCATAATAGGGAGGTTTCAAAGTGCTAACAAACAGCACTGTGGTCTCTTTTTCTGTCAGAGGAGGTTGTACCTATGAAGCTATATCTCTCCATCTCTGGGCGTACTCTTTAAAAGACTCGTTTGACTTTTTCTCCAGATTCTGCAAAGATAAACGATCAGGAGCCAAATCGATAATGTGTCGATATTGACTGATAAAGTCATATGCCATATCGCTCCAAGAGCGAATGCGAGTTCTGTCCAGCTGAACATACCATCTGGCCGCAGAGCCAGTAAGACTGTCTTGGAAAACATGCATCAATAGCTTTTCATCATGTGCATGAGCTGCCATCTTCCTGCAATACATGGTGATGTGGGTTTTGGGGCATTTTGTACCATCATATTTTTTAAATTTTGGTACTTTGAACTTATGGGGGATAACTACATCAGGAACTAGGCAGAGCCCAGCAGCATCAACTGACCCATAAAAGCTAAATCCTTCCACAGCCCTTAGCCTTTGCTCTAGCATGCTAATCTTGGAACTTTCTTCAGCTTCCACCTTCATTTTTTCCTTTTCTTTCTCTTTCAAATCATCTAGATCAGGAATTGGTTCTGTAACTTTTTCAGTGAATACAGGATTTATATAGCTATTATACTGCCCTGGGTTAAAAGCTGATGGCATTCCAGGATATGCGAAATGTTATGGCGGGACCTCTTGAGCAGACTGGGCTTGAGGTGGGCCAAAACCTGGAGGGTACAAAGGGTCAGCCACATCTTGCTGGCTTGTATTTCCTTCAACTCCTTTTCCTTTATTCATGTTATTAAGAGCCTCCAGAATCTTACTTAGTTCACTTTCAATCTTCTCTTGAGCTTTTTCTAGCTTTTCAAATCTATGAGAACTTTCCTCCTCTATTTGCCTTGCTTTGGATCTTGTGTTGTATGGATGAGCAGGGTTCTCGCTAGATGGAGCTATCCTGGGACCTTGAGTACCATACTTATGATTAGAAATGTTATGTTGTGCCTTATGTATGATGCTTTGATACACAAATGAAATGTACATTTTTCTGAATGAAATCTAGTATGAAATGAATGCAAATGATTGTGTTAAAACATGATCATGAAAACAACATAGTTAGTTCCATGGATGAAATGAAAGTGATGCTGATGCATAATGTTACATATGATAAAAATAATACACAAAGTCAGACAATCAAAATGATTAGATAAACACCCTTTTTGTGTCCTAATTTCAGGGTATATCTATCATTGGGTAGAAAGGGCTCTATCCTAGGCTTAGGCACTCTTAAGGTTCACTATATGCGGTTTTAAGGTCAAAGTCTAAAGGTCCTCAAATTGTTCCTTACATCCTTGTCCATCACAGACTAGTAAGGCACCCTAATCCTCACCCATTACAGGCTACAAGCGGAAAAAGTTTAATTTGAGTGGGAGTATTTCGCTAGCCACTGCGGAGGCATTAGACCTCACGAAAGCAATAGGTACTTTACTCCCTCTTAGAGGGACGGAGCTCGGGTATAGAGCTCATGTTATGCACATGCACGTGAATGACATAATTAACAAGGTAAATAAACATGAATGAATAATTACACATATATACAAAAGGGTTCAATTTTATTAGGCTTTTGGATAACACAAATTATTTGCTGGCCTGACTCTCAAAGTCCCCAGTGGAGTCGCCAAGCTGTCATAACGTCTAGATCCGGGGATCTATCGCTAGACATTGACTTTTAATGGAGTCGCCACCAATCTTTTTTATCTAGGTGCGATTGGCCACCTAAAGAATCTGTCCTTTTAGGGAACACCTAAGTTTAAGGGTCCCTAAAAGAATAGGTTCAGGTCTACAAACCAGAACAGGGTTCGGGAGTTCGGTTACGTGTGAGGAAGGTTATAACACCCTCACAACGCCCATCAAAAGATGGTACCAGCTTAAATTTGTGTTATCCAAAAGCCTTTAAAATTTTACCAAGTAATTAATTGTTGAAAATTATTCTCAATTGACTCTAATACTTTTAGCAGAAAATTGAAAAAATTCTCTCACCTCAAGAGTATGCAAGAAAAACTACTGTTTCACTTACAGAGGCTCTGTCGTCGGATTAGTTAAAGAAAAATCAAAGTCAAAATCAAAATAGGAAGGAAGGAAAGAATGATTGTTCTTGTGTGGGAAAAATTGATACTTTCAACTTTTCCCCAAAAATATTTTGGAAATTTATTTCTAAGGAAAATTGATACTTTCAACTTTTCCTCAAAAATATTTTTTTTTTGAAATTTTGATTTCCAAGGAAAATTGATACTTTCAACTTTTCCTCAAAAATACTTTTTTGGAAATTTATTTTTAAGGAAAATTGATACTTTCAATTTTTCCTCAAAAATATTTTTTTTGGAAATTTTGATTTTTATTTAAAGAATAATAAATAAAAAATAAATAAAAAACAAAGAAAAGTAACGCAAAAAATAAAAATAAGATAAAGATAAAAAATATTAAATAAATATAATCTAATAAAAATAATAAATAAATAAATAAATAATTCAAAAAAAAAAAATGGAGCGGCTCGGTTATCGGCTCGGCTCGGCTTAAGGAAGAAAAACGGCTCGGGGGAACGGTTAGGGAGCTCGACTCGGCTCGGCTCGGAGGGGGCAGGGCACGTGCGGGTCAGGAATCGGGTCGACGCTCGGGTCGGGTCGAGTCACGGTAAAACGCGCGGATCCTCTGATTAACTTAAAGCCAAAACAATGTCGTTTTGGGAGGGTATAAAAGGCAGTTCCCTTCGTTTTTCGACAGACCGCTCCTCTTCTCTCTCTCTCTTCTTTCCTTTTTTCTCTGCCTTCTCTCTAAAAGCTGAAGAACACCGGTGCCGGATTCTGGAAAATGTCACCGGAATCTGGAAAATTTCGCCGGATGTTCACCGGAAGTTGGCCGAAAAATTGGTCGGTTTCTGGATTTCTCGCCGAAAACTGGGCATCTCGTCGGAAACTTCAAATTTGCCAGAATTTTGGCCGAAAAATTCAACTCTTGCCGAAATTTTTGCCGAAATCTGGAAATTTCCCAAAAATTTCCAGAAAAATTTTTCACCAAAAATTTTTAAAAAATTTTTCTTACTCCCAGAACACTCCTAAACTTTTCTTAGCTTCCTATATGCCTCCTTTTCTCTCAAAATCAGTAGCTTTGCTTACTGTTTTCTGTCTGTGTTTGCATCTGTTCCAGGGGTCCTTTATATAGGGATTGATCAGGAGTTCCTGATCAATCCCAATTCCTCCTTGGACGGAAATTCAATCTTTGAATCCAATTGGACTCTTCTGATTGAATTCCCATTCCCAGTGGGATTCTTCAACTTCAATCTCAGCCCTCGAAAAATAAAAATCAAATAAAAAAATAATAATAGATAATTAGAAAAGAATCAGATACGGATCAAGAAAAGAGAAAGAAAAAAAATTAACAGATAATTAGGAATACAATAAGATAAACCAAAAAAAAATATTACAAGAAAAAGAGAAAAAATAATAATAATAAAATAATAATATATATAACTATATAAATACAATACATATAAATATTAATAGAAAATAAATAAATAAATAAATAAAGATATACATATATTAATATATAATAATAATAATAAATAATAAAATACATAAAATACAAAAGAAGAAAAAAAAATACAGAGTTACAATTGAATTGGGCCTTACCCATTTGGGCCAAGCCCAATTGATCTGGGCCTGGACCCAATTGGGTGTCTACAGTCATTATTCAATTAAAAGTGTTAGTTTGTGTGCAAATTGATGCATTAAAACAAAGTCCAAGTAGTATCACGATTGTAACTTTTCAAATTTTAAGTATCAAATTAAGAATTTTACTATAATTCAAGTATCGAATATGTAATTAATCTTTGAAGTTTAACACTTAATTTTTCAATATTCAATATATCAACTGATGAGCTAAATGTGAAATTTTGTTAGAACCTATGAATTTCAATTTTCAAGTAATCTTCTAAACATTTACAATTTCTTTTCAACATTATTTTATAATCTTCTCAATATTCTTTATTCTTACATTATAGTGTATTGATAAAATATATTTCTTGCTTAATAGACCACATTGATTCGATATATTTTTCTAAGCAGAGTTGGCTTATACATCGAAAGTAGATGAGAGATGTGATGTTTACAGTTTTGGAGTTCTAATAATGGAAATATTTATGGGGAGGCATCCTGTTGATTTGATTTCATGTTTACCATCGTCACATCGCATCGACATCGACATTGGTACCAAATGAGAACCAACAAATTTTACTTAAAGATGTGATAGACCAACGTCTTTCACCACCGGTAAGACAAGTTGCAAAGGATGTTGTCTCTACCACAAAGCTAGCATTTGCATGCTTGAATGGCAATCACCAACTTCGGCCAACCATGCGACAAGTCACTCAAGCCCTTACTCGTCAATCGCTTCCATTGCCCAATCCATTCTCAATCATAAAATTGGGAGAATTGTGGGATCATGAAGTTTGCAAGGGCTAATATTAAGGTGCTAATAATTTGAATAATAATTCTAAGCACGTGTATTTACTTTCAATTTATTTTTTTCTCCTTTGTATTGAAAATGTTTAAGCACTTTTATAATAAAGCTTTTGTAGTGAATCGGCTGTAATATAGAATATCCGTGTTTAAACACTCAATTTGTATGTTTAAAATTCTCTATTTCTAAAATATAACTAATGGTTAGTCGTAGAATTTGACTTTCAATATCAATTGTGATATTCTCTTGTAGTACCAATTTGCTATAGTACTTTTGCTTTGGAATGCTACAGCAATTTTAATATCACTTTTTTATTTGTTTGAATAAATAAAGAATACAATTGGTGAGTACACCAAACTACAATAAACACAACTTCACACAATAATCTTTTGATTTTACTATTTACTGGCCATTTATTCTTATACACATTATTTCCCACAATTTCATCTTTCTAACTTTTCTTCATTCCCTACCTTTTAAATCACTCAAAATTTAATTGTAATTGTATTGAGTACACTTAAAATGGATTTGAGTGATGATTTTAAACAATATAACTTCAATTTGCACTTTTTGTTTACTAAAATGCTAAAAAATGTTGTAGTTTTCTCAAATTTCTCAAATAAACTTTTCTCTTTTTTTTTTAATCCAATTAAAAGGATAAAACATTACTTTTATTAAACTAAGTCTTATTTTATATGAAAACCATTAAAATTTATTATTTTTTCCATGTCAATGGTAATAATTGTTTTTGTTAAATCAATGTCTGCTTTGCAAAATATAAATATTTAAGTTGAGTTATCATTTACATAATATGTAATGAATGGCTCAGGCCACATTAGCATCCAAAGAGCTTTTTTATTTTCAAATATATGTTATGTAAATGTTGGCATCATAGAAAGAATTACGACATCTATATTGATCTGGCAAGAAATAATTTTTCTTTGTTTACAATTTTCATCTAAAAAAAAGAGCTTACTGGAACAAAATTATACTGTAAAAATTTAATTAGACAAAAATAATTTTTTAAGGACTTAATTAGATATAATAGAAGAATGGAGGCTTATATGAAAAATTCAAAGGCTTATCATCACAAAATATTTTTCATTTTTAATATTTGATTAAAGCTGGGGGCTTGACTGTAATTAAATATAATCTAAATTTTCAATAATAATATATAGCCAACAAAATACAAAACGTAATTATTAACAAAAATACAAAACATTTGTCTTCCAAACTAAAATTATAGTTGAATTTAGTCCAACACGTTTTTAAATTAAATATCAATGACTTTTCATAACCTTTTTCCCATTTTTTTATATAATATGGTGAAGGGTACTCTTGTTTTATTTATTTGGAGAAACGATAGGCTTTGAATAAAATTAATTGCAAAAAAAAAAAGAAAAGCTAATTCCACCTATAATTTTTATTGCAATTTTGTAATTAGCCAATTTAAAAAATTATATAAAAGTCCACCTTTTAAAAGTGTGGGTTCTACGCAACTTTTTTATGAACTCTACACAATACTAAAAAAATTATATATATTTTAAAATTATTATGGTAATTTTTTAATTATACAAATTATTTTAAAGTTGTTATATCCATTTAATATTTGGATTATTATTTTATACAGTATTTTTTAAAAAATCATTATCGCTATTAAATAATTAATCAATTTGTTAATTTTTTTATAAATATACTCTAGTAAGGCAAGTGTTAATTTTTTAAAAAACTTTGTTAATCAATATAATCGCAGGTATCCTGTCAACCTCAAGTGCTATTCCAGTTTCAAAACCCAACGTTGAAATCATGATCATTAAACAGCTTACATGAATTAGAAAACAAGTACCTGGGTTGATCTGAGTGTGAAGAACTATTGAGCATCATTCCACTCGAGGAAGGTTTGTCTGTATCACAATCAGAAACAGGCTCTATTCCTATGCTTCCTCTGTGTTTTGCTAACACAGAGTAAGTCTCCCTCTTGCTTGCTAGGCATCGAGCTACCATCATTAGGAGCCAACTCCAACAAACTTTTTCAAATGTTCTAGTAACTTATTTTGCATAACTCCAAACACTTGTTCCATCTTGACATCAAATTTCTTCTCCATCTATGCATCGATCTGCTAAATTTCATTCTAAAGCTTAGCGATTTCCTCTTCATTTTTTTGGATTTCCTCTTGCATCCTAGTAGAGACTCCATCCGCCATGATTGCCAAGACGATGCTTTAATACCAAAATGACACACCTTAAATTTCCAAAATAACGACAACAGATAGATCGCAGAAGAAAAAAAGAAGAGATAGAAGGAGAAAGAGAAAAGAAGTAAGAATTCTAGAAGAGAGAATAATTGCTGATATTTCTTGACAAAATCATATACAATGCTCCTTTTCATCATTTGTAATTCTTAGCAGAATACTCAACATAAATGTAATCCGTAAATATCGGATATTGCACGTCATAATTCTCTCTCTTTCCTCGTCTAGTATAACAATAATAACATATTTCATAAAGGAAACAAATAAAACTAAATAGGCCTGTAACACATATAGCCTACCAACATGGCTCTCATTTATTCATTTAAGCCCAAGTTCCAGTCCAATAACCCTTATAGCCTGCAATAGAAAGTAATTAAATAACAATAAGTTGATATTCACTTTTAGATCAAGTCGTTCCAAACTTTAACTTGAAAAATTGGTTTAATTTCAATAAACATTTATTTATATAGTAAATTGGTACATGAATATATAATTGAATATTGGTTTATTTATGAATATATATATGTACAATCTACACAGATATTGTAATTTAATACCTCCATAGTAAATGACTATAATTTCTTTAAACAAATTAAAACATGTTTGGCATATTAAAATAAACTAGATATTTCAGTATTCAACAAATAAAAGTAATTAAAAGTTTAAACAATAATATTCTTGTTATTAGATTTATAAAGAGATAATAGTAATGATGATTGATTGATGAAAATTGATTTCTTTTGAAATAATTTTCTGAACTTTTTAATTTCTTTACCGGTTTATATATATGTTAGTGTATTTCTCTATTGTACTTTTAATTGAATGACTGTATGGGAATTATATATATTAATAAATAACCATTTATATTAAAATTAGCACCAAGTTCCCTATGTATATGCGTACAAATGTATTCCTTTGCTTTGGTTTAAAATTAGCAATTCAAACTTTATTTTATAAAAAATTAAGACTTTGTATTTATAGCAATATATAAAAATTATTATATATGTATATTTCATTCCTACTTATTGCTTAGAGACATTGACATTATAATACTTCTCTATTAATAAAATTTATTAGAATTGTTTAAATGTATAAAAGGAATGTTTTGTATATGAAAATGAAATAAAAATTTTATTTAAGATACAAAAGTAATTAACTAATTGTCGCATATAGCAAATTTCTATGCCCTATTAGAGATATACTCCTAATTGGAGTTCAATTTGCATTGTAAATACGAAGGAAGCGGGTGACGAAAAACAAATTAATTAGGTTTTAATCTTCTATATATGTGTATAAGTCGATTTTTTTACTCCAAAATCCAAAAATTTTAACAAAAATCTTTATAAGCCTCCAATTTACCTAATTTTTCATTTACCAACAAATTCTATATTTTCAAAATAAAAACAACAAAACCCTAGAAATCTATTTCCTAAATATTACCATGGCTTCCAATTACTATCTCAAAATTAGCCATCTAATAGATAGTCGTTTAGAAGATTACTATGGCTTCCAATTACTATCTCAACATAGCATACCATACGTTGTACCTCTTAATTTCAAAACAACTGTAGAAACATTCCGTCAATTGACCATATATCCCCGTCACATGATTTTATTTGAAGAGTATGGTCCAAATATTTTACTTTTTTTGTTTGCCAACATAGGTGTGACTACAAGAAAAAAAATATTTTTAGTAGAGAAAAAAATGATCGCTAAAGAAATAAAATTTAGCCACTACAAGTTATAGTGACCAATTTTCAAGTCGTTACAAATACTTTCGTCACTATTTTATTAGTGACAACTTTTATTAAGTCATCACAATAGCTCAATTTTTTGTGATAATTTTTCTTGAGTATAAAAACAATTAAAATAGTGACAAAAAAATTTTGCTACAATAACTTGAATTCTTGTGATGATATTATCGATTCCAAAAGTATTGACAATAGTTACAAAAAATTATTGTCACTTATATTATTTTTATTAGTGACAAATGTCTCCTCACTAATATTTGCTGAAATACTATCTCATGAATTATATCATAAATATTAAAATTATTTCTTATAATAATTCTTGTCACTAATAAATTAATTATTGTCACAAGTAAAATTTATCAATTTATAAAAAAATATCATTAGTGACTAAAAATAGACATTATTATTCAAAAATAAATAAGATAACCAAAATATATAACATGTTTTTAATTCCAAAATTCAAAAAATCTCAAAAATAATATTAAAAATATAATTATCAATTAAAACCATACTAATATCTTGCCACCAAAAACTAAATTACTACAAAAGAAAAGTAACTCCAAGTGGAAATTTATGCTAGAAGTCCATAGATGATCCCAACAAAGTCAGTCTTTATATTTTCCTACAAAACAAACAAAAATAAAAAAAATTAATAAGTCAATAAATAGTTTTAAAAAATTATCTTATACAATTCCTAATACGTTTTGAACTTAAATATGGTTAAATGTAATAAAAGATATGGGCATGACATATAT